GGAGCTGCAAAGCGGATTGTGCATGTGAAGGACGTTGGACATGGGGGGAAGACGTAGGCGCCGGGAGATGAAGGCATGACCAAGCCTACAAAGAGATTGACAGGGGGTGTCCCTAGGCCTATACTGTAGTTCGAAGGTGTTTAATCTGTCCATTTTCTTGGTTTGGAGGTTCACATTTTGGGATGAGGACACTCTGCTGCTGGGAACTCTGCAAATACAGTAAAAGAAATCTTATCTTCTGAAAGACCTGTCAGGTATTTTCTTTGTCTCCCAAATTGTGTTCGGAAAGGGAGAATGATGTGGAGGATTTCCTATTCTTTCCAAGACTAATGTGGACATTGTGAGCTGAAGGACGGCAGAGCCTCACTGGAATTTTTTCTTTGTTATTCAATAGAAGGGAGTCACTGGTCATGATGGGAAACACACCGCGAAGGTTGATGACAAAGTACACTTAGACACCACGACAGTATCACAATTCATTATCATAACCCACAGTTTATTACGCATCATTTTAAAAGTAAACTGTTTATGTTATGTATACAGCAACCCTTTATTGCTTAAGTACTCACAAAAAAAATTTGGATAAAAGATTGGATGAAGTTCAAAATGGAAAATGCAAAGCAGTCACTACAGTAAACATTTATTTTTATCATGTTGTTATGGTCCAAGTCTGTGGGCTGTTCTGGCTTCACAGGTTGGACAGAAAAGGTAACGCTGACTTCCAAGCAAACAGGTGAAAAGCGGAGACTGTTAGTGGTTCTCCAATACAGAACAATAACACATGGGGGGGGGGAATATGATATAACGGTAAGTAAAGCAGACTCTGGCGTGTCCTCTGTGCGCCTTGATGAGGGCAGGCGGTGCCCGTGGCCAAGAACGTCGCTACAGCCCTGCATATTTTAGCCCTGATGCCGGGCTTCCTTAAAAAAAAAAAAAAACTCAACCCCCAGGTGAATTTGACTCAGCATCTGATCTGTTCAATAGCTAGAAACTTCCCTGGGTGTGGCTTTGGGGTAGCAAAGGATGCAATTAGAACGAGACGGTTCTGAGCTTCCACAGCCACACGGACCCCGATAGCCCCACAAATCACAGGCAAGGTAAGTAAAACTGTCACAGTCAGAAATTAATCTTCATCTTCCCCCTTTTCAATTATACATATCGCAGAATTATGGCACAGAGAGTGTGATTGCCTTCCTGGATAAATCTGTATACCACCTAAATTCAGCAAGTTTATTTTAGGATGTGTAATTCAGTAATCAGTACATTTAAGTGAAAAGCAAAGGGATTCAAAATCCAGTGTATTCCGCAGCTGGGCCTTTTCGTATGTCCTGTACTTCAGTCATCCTTCATCTGCACAGGAATGAAGGCCTGGCTGAGTGCGGCTGATATTTCAGCAACATGATTAGAAACTGACCCAGCAGCTTATTTAGATTTTCCACTAACAGGCTCAACAATAGACACATAAAAGGTGATTATTCAAGAGATTATTTATATGCAAGTGTTACAAACGTGACTCATGTACACACTCTACGGAGGCTTAATCAGGAGCATGGCTGCTTCGCATTTCCAGGTTTGAGGCTTCAGATTCCACTCCTGTTGTGTGTATGTGTGTGTGTGTGAGAGAGAGAGAGCGAGAGAGAGAGAGAGAGATGGTTGGATGTTTTATCCCAGCACACAGTTTTTTTCTCCCACATAAAAAGACATGCAGGTAGGCTAATTGGTTAAGATGGATGAATCCATGACAGAACTTAGCACACACTTTAAAATATCCAGACTAAATGATCTTGTATTAAGATCCTGGTGACAAGAGCTCACTTTGGAGGGATTCCACCTCTTGTGGAAGTATGTAATTAGAGTAAGATCTGGGCTATCAGCACAAAATGGATGAAAGGGCCGGGACCACATGACCATTTGCAGAGAAGCTGACTGCACAGCTCTGCCCTCCACCTGAGACACGTTCTGCAGGCGTTCTGAGCCTGGTGACACTCCATTGAGGTCTCATAACATGGGATTATCAGGAGAAAACGTGCAGCTCACCTCCCTGCGGGCTGCCTGGTGACATCAAAGTGTTTAAGACACCATCAATTGTGATGCAACTCAGGACTTTGAAGAGTTTGTCAAAAAGGTCTCACCGCACAATAGTTTCTCCTAGCAACTAGATGATCTGGTTTCTATGGTTATAGTTCACTCTCAGAGCCTCCGTGGGACTGGATTGTGACAGAGTTCCATGCAGCATATGGGAGATAATGTTCACAGAGCACTTTGATACATTTCAGCTCCATGGCTAAGCAGGACTCAATGCTGAGTGTCAACCTTCATTCTTCTTCAACCACTGATTCCATCTGTTCCAAAGATTTACTGTAACCAATTCAGTAATTTAGCCATTTTAATTACATAATAATTGGAATACATAGTGTTTTTGACATTTTTACTAAAACATACACTAGGTAAGCAGCAGTCTAGAACCCAGCAAAGTGTTAACTGAAGTTCACAGGATGATATCATGGAAAGATTCATTGTTTGACTACATGCAACCTTGAAACTCTATTCTCCAGAGACATTATAAGGTAGCATGCTGTATTATATACTGGGTGGGTATGATATGCTTGCTTGCTTATTTATTTATTTAAACCTGGTTTTATCAAGACCAGGGATAGTTATATTTTTTAACCATATAAATCATAAAAGAAAGACTGACACAATATTTCAGCATCCTGATATAAATTAATTCATTATGTGGATTATCTTCAAAATGCTTTATGAAAAATGACTGCTGTCTTTATTCAAGAATATTTCCTTTCCCCTCCTCATCCTTACAAGGTAATTTTCCGACTTCCCCGACCGTTGCTATGCAACAAACTTCAGAGCAACAGGAGCATTAAACAGGAGCATTAAACAGAACAGAACACATTAAAAAGAACACACATTTTTCACAAGTAGTGAAAACCAACGAAATATTTCAAAAATGAAAAATGCATTTTTATCACACAGACAAATACACATGAATTTGCTATGTCAGGGTGTGAGGATTTTTTTCATTAACAAACAGTGCAGTTTTAAGTAACGAGGAGCATTCTGCTAATGCACCTGGACGACTTCTGCACCTGTCGGCATCTGCAAAGGCCAAAACCCCAGGAGGCACGTCGCTGTCCCACAGGGGGACAACTGCTGTCCCCAAACCCATTATAATCCCTCCCATACATGGACAGAACTGACATTGCTGAAGAAGAAGGGCTCAGCAAGCCCTGGAAGTTCCCAAAGCCAACGCAGCTTGCTGGCTGGCTGCCGTTCAGATCCACCCAGGCCGCCTCTCAGCCGCATGTAAAATTAAGTCCGACTCACTTACATCTGCATCCCTTCACTGTTTGATCACTGCAAACCCAAAGACTCAGCGGGGACAGGTGACACACTGGCGCCTTACAAATGCAGCATTTTGTTGCCAAGGGAGACCCATGCGTCTGTCCTCGTTATTGTCCAGCAGCGGGGCAGGAGGCAGGGTGCCACTGTAATTGCTGCCTTCCAGTGCGGCAGGCGGCCCTGATCGCCTGCGTTCCTGCTGCTCGCAGTGCCGAGGCGCCGCGGGGACAGAGAGCCTCACGCCTCCATTGGGCAGAAAGAATTTAGCCTTTATTGCAGCCATTATTCCGTTTCTGAGCTGACACTTTAGAATAGAAAGCCAGCTACGATTCTAACCATTATATGGTATCATACTGGAGCAGTTACACAGCTCCAGCTGGACTGTCAAGAAGGAGCCTCCTAAACAGGGGAAGTTT